TGTTTTGTAATAATAGGGACATGTATCATTTTAATTAGTCTAGTTTTATTACTATAACATCAACCTGGCCAGGGACTTCAAGTGGAAATAGCAGTAAGTAGCATCTCTGCTGTCATCTGGTACCATGCATCTTTCTCTTATGGTTAATGTCAAATCCCTGTATAAATAACCTTTACTACTCTTTAGGGAGCATACGATACCAGTATCGGTATTGGTGCCAATACAGATACCGATACCAGTATCGGTATCGTATCTGTTTGAGAAAAAGTGGTATCGTTGCATTCCTACTACTATTACTATTAAACCATATCTTGCTTCTCTGTGGTGAGAGGTCACAAAAGCTAAAAAGCAATGTCACGTTTTAAGCTGCGTAAGCAGCAATTGTGCTAAAGAACCACAAACCATGTGCACAGCTCTGCTGAATGTCCACTCACACTCCCCATCAGACATATAGAGATAAAACAACAGTTCTCCCGGCCTAAAACTGCCTGGAAGCCTGATTTTAACATAGTGTCTCACCCCAAAGGACTGCCTCTGGTGTGTAAATGACACAACACAGAATCTGTTTTCATTACATGAACACTGTGCATCAGTTTTAATTGAACTCACACAAACACTTCAGATAAATCTCACAACAAGACCCGTTCATTGTTTATTCTGTTTACTTTTATAGCAGAAAATAAAAAATACTGCATTACTTTTACGCGTCCAACTGTTTTACCCACCATTCAAACAATGAGTGAAATGAATTTAATTTGCTCTTTCATCAGTAGGTCTTTGTCGTTTTTAGACTCCCAGAGGAAAACGGATAGTTTTTCAGCTTTTAAGCTTCTTGGAGAAGCAAACTTATTACTGAGATGTTGAAATTTGACACAGAGAAAGCAACGGACCATTCCTGGATCAGGCTAAGAACTACAAAGCTGAGAAATGCAAAAGAAGACAGTATAGCAAAGCACGACTGGTTAACTGAGCTCAGTCCATTCTAATAAAAACCTCACTGACACTGTTGCATGTCATGCTACTCAAAATCTGCAGCTCAGGAGGCCAAATCAATACGCCAGCACTTTTTGTTTTTATTGGATGTGGATTTATGACACTGTGTTGACTGTATATCTGGCTCAAAAAAGTCCTGAGCTTGTGAAATAGCTGAGTGGGTGGTGGGCAGACTATGCCATCAAGTTTAAGACTCTTTTATTATTATTTAAAACCACATCCTGAGGATTTCAGCAACGATACAACATCACTGTCTCTCCATGTGCAGGTGCCAATACACCGGCTGCATTTATGCTGATAAAATATGACAAAAATCTGCTTTGGTTTGATGGCGTTAATGTACTCAGCAAGAACAGTATTAGTTCATATAATTTAGTAGGGATGTGAATCTTAGAGCACCCCGAGAATCGATTCCGATTCTCGGGGTGCTGATTCGATTGAGAATCGATTCTCAATTTAAATCGATTCACAATCAGTATTAAGAAAGAGTGTCAGCTCCAGGATGAACTACTTTGTTGTACAAGTTAGTTAAAGCTAACGGACATTTTTATTTGACTTTAATAAAAGTCATGCTCCAAAAAAGCTAATTTACAATAGAGTGATTCTTAAACTGTAACCAGAACAGGGGCGTGTCCAGGGAGTGGCCTGGGGTAGCACATGCCACCCTTGGAATCTGATTGGCCACCCCAGGTGCCACCACACTAATTTACCTTTAAATAGGCTTTTCATTGTCCACAAAAGGCTTGGGGGTAAAACAAAAAAAAAAACACACAACAATTGGTGCCACCCATGCACAAAGTTGTGCTTCAGCTGGGCCACCCCATTTTAAAAGATCTGGACACGCCACTGAAACAGAAGCAATCTTTTGACCAAAAGGCAACATTTATTTTTGTTTACCTTGTAAAATATAACAAATCTGTAGTTACCTAACAGTAGCTTTGAAAGTAATATGGTCAAATGCTTTTCAAGTATGTGTAGAAACAAGTTACATGAGTAATCCTGAGTACTCAACTATCAACTTAGAAAATAAATATGAGAATATCTCAAATTTCTGAGTATGGAAAAAATGACATTCAAGTGCTCTCTTATCAGCAGATTCAAACATAAATCATCTCAATTTATGGGACCACAAAAGTAATCAGAGTACTGACTCTCCTAACAAAGACCAAAAAAGTGTATCTCAGACCCGTAACATGGCAAATATTTCAGTTCTTGGAATCGATTCTGAACCTTTATAAATAAGAATCCCGATTCAGACTTGAATCGATTTTTTTCAGCACCTCTAATAATTTAGATTAAACCTCAACAGATAATCTAAACTGCAGGTGTGGAGTTTTTATCCCACATCGCTGAAAACACACACACACACACACACACATGCAAAAGTCTAAACTTGGCTGACAAGATGAAATCGGATGGTTTCAAAGTGTTCATAATGTTGCTATGGTTGCACTGTCAGTGGCAGCGGCTCTTTGTGTTTCACACCCTCTAGAAACGCACAGGTAAGGAGGGAAAAAATGTTAACACCACGCGGCAAATTTCTACTTCCAAAAGCAAACCTGTCAAAACATAAAATCATACAAAGCCTTCAAACACGAGGCACTTAGCTGCACTCAGGTAATTATACCTGAGTGACAAATAAGTAGTTTTTTGTTATAGCATCCATTAACTCAGTGTAGTGTAGTTCCACTTGGCAGAATTAAGGAAAAACAAAACAGAACGCCGGTGCTGAGTTTGCGTATGAAAGGGACTTTTGGCTTCAAATTGTCAACAAAAATCCACCGACCGAGCCAAAATAACATTCAGCCCACAACGCTGGTTCATTTTCTAACACTAAATGGATTCTGAATTGGTTGGGAAGGACACAATGTATTAACTGGGCTCTCAGCATCAATCCAGGTCACGCCTGAACTGTGAACACGGCATTAGTGAAATTAGACCCTTGAGGTTTTCCTAATGCTGTTTTCCATCTGTGTGTGTGGACAAAACTTGGGACAACACACGGCACTCGGGTCACGCTGGATATCACCGACCCAGCAACCCCGCAGAACGTGTGCGACGACTGTGTGTCTATGTGGGTGAGTGTGCGACGCGCATTAGTGTTATTGTGCGAAGCCTTCAGTGTTTAATCCCCTAATCTGCTGAACCCTGGAAATCACTGCAGTCATCTGTCAGCCAGGTCAGAGCGGGCAACGCAACTCACCACGAATACACTCGTACACACACACACACACACACACACACACACACACACACACACACACACACACACACACACAAATGCAAGTCATTTATTCAACAAGGCCAGCCTCATTCCAGTCTAATGAAGATTGATGCACCTCTTTCCAGGCCTCACAGGTGTCGTGGTAAAGTATAAATATAACCCACACAGAGGATGAGACAAAGGCAAAAAGCACAGAACCATAAAGGTTAGGAAGCAAACCTTTTCCACAGACATGCCAGTAGGTCCACGGCACAGGGATTTGAGAGCGCGTGAGGGTAATCTTGTGTCCAACACAGACTCAGGAAGCGTTCAGGTTCTTAAGTCAAGTCTATACATAGCAGACCCATTAGTGTGTGTGTGTGTGTCTGAGTGTCTGTGCATCATGCCAAATAGGACACCCTGAGGGCTTGTCTGGAGATTGTGGTTGACGTGGCCTGCTGCTCTACGGCGTGAGCTCCTATTAGCACTTAAGACTGCAGCTCACAACACGTATGCACTCGCACCACGCCAATCGCCACGATTACACTTGACGGATTAGGCAGCTGACTTGTTAAAGAGGGACAAAAGCAGCCTCTATGTTTAAAAGTCCCGACAGAGATGAGGACAACCTATTTGGTTTGTGTGACTGTATCTGTCAAGAGTTACAAGACAGGAAAGGGAGCAGGACGGAGATCAAATAGCGTCAGAGATCACAGGCTGGATTGAAGAAAGCTAAGGGTGGAGGAGATAAGGAGGCCAGGGGGGGGGGGGGGGGGGGGGTCCAGTGAGAGCTGAGTGTGAATTTCAACATGGTGTCTCATCATCAAGATCTCGGTGGCATCTGTGGGTCTGTGAGAGTTTTCATGTCACAAGGTTGCAGTGGCTGTCAGGCTCTGGGATCTACAGCGTGTGGGCCTCTTCCTTCGTCACTCTGCTGAATCCCAGCTAAACGTTTGATATTATTTCCTCCTGATGCTTCCTTCAACTTTCTGCCTACAAACGCATTCAAATCTTTAACAATAAAAAATCCCTCTCATGATGAACACTGACTGGTGAGTGTCCTGCTGCAGTTTCTCTGCTGCAGCTCGAGGTGAAGCAGCTGTGTGTTCAGCTCCTCAGTCACTATGATGGAGAAAATCCGTCACAACATCTGCACAAAGCCTGATTTATCAGAACCCCTGAGTGGGAGTGATTAAAAAAAACAACTGTGAGGCACAAAGTGCGTAAGAGAGGGAAGAAAGTGAAGGAAATGCCGCTGCGTCTGTGCGCACTGGACGCAGACTGCGCTGGTGCTGATGAGAGACGTCAGGTCAAACAGCCATGAAGCCAACTCCCACCTTTAAATAAGTTGATGACATGATTTAATTTGGTCAACATGCTCTTGGGGATGGATGCTGCTGCGATGCGGTACTAGCCCCCCCTCCCCCCAATATTAAACCCGCTTCAGATGTGCACAGCCGCCTCTCATCTCCATCCACCTTGACCCTCAGAAGAAGCAGCAGCTCCAGATAAATATTTCTGTTGTTATCACCAGATCAGATGGAGACATCTGGAGACAGAACTAACCGGAACCCAGAGATTAATTTACTCCGTCTGTGCGACACAATGACGGAAACCGCTGTGCGTCCTGTGGAAACTCGCGCGCGGATCGCTGCTGTTATTCCGGTGAAAGGCACCTCAATGTCACGGCTCCGCGCTGCCCTTCCCGTCCTCCTTTCCAGAAAGCGACACACATGTTCCGCTTCAGACCACAGCTGGCGAGCAAACAAGGAGTACATTTTTGCAAAACACCACCATGACGTACCTGTTTGTGTGCGTGCGTGCACGATCCGCTTTCTTCAACTTTTCCTTCCTCCTCCACTCGAACAGCCCGACTTGTTTATCGCATACTTTTCTTTTCACCGTCGAGCCGCTTTGCTGCACAGACGCGGATGGAGATGGCAGGCTGCGAGCCTCCGGTTCAACATCCCATAGCTGGAATCAAACGGAACAATCCATCCAGGTGACCGTGACACAGACGCGCGTCTCCGCGTGGTGCTGTTTGGACGGGAAACGCAGCTGGTAAAGTGGACATGCTCTGGGAACGAGGTAACGGCGGGTGAAGGCTGCGCGCGGCGGGGGCAGCGACCACCAACACGAGAGAGGACCGCGACTCGCGGAGCGCGCGCGCACGGCCGAAACAAGTCAGTGGTCATTAACGGCGAGTGTGTATAATCCGCCGGGGACTATCTGCTGCAGCTGCTTCCTGCAACACCGGACGCATAGGGATTAAACAGTCAGGAGTCTCACATGCTCTAATGTCCTGGATCGATCTCTGGGGCTTCGTCTTGAACTAAGATATAAATATTTCATATAAAAAATGGCAATAGAGTACAAATGCATATCCAGTCTCCTAAACAATAAAAATGCATGGAAGAGTGTTTCTCTGACTATAGGTGAGCCTGCAGTCTCAAAACTCTGGGATTGTACATGATAACCTGCATGCTCTTCTCTGGGTCAGAAAACTCCCAAGCACTGTATACTACAATAATTCACACAGTCACAGCCTGGTCATGAGCTACAATGTAGCCACAGCGGCCCAGGGACACACTGACCAATGCAAGACTGCCACCGGTCCCTCGAACCATCACTGGCAGGCATGGAGGTTGAAAAGTCTTGCTCAATGATAGCAAATGACGTGGATGGTGCCTTACAGGGCAAAATGCTAACCCCCGAGCCACAGTTGCCCCAATGAAACAATGTTCTGACTAAGGCCTAGCTGGGTTTTTTAAAAACGAATATCCGCCCCTCCAAAAACTTGCATCCACACCACCTCGTTTTTAAAAAAACTCTGTCCACACGTACCTGGATAAAAACGTTGTTAAGGACATGCCAGACCTGTAGGCGGCAGTACTTCCCCCATTCTTAACCTCGTCCTTCGTCTGTGGTCTTCCGCAAGGAGCAGTAATTCCACTTGCAAAAACAAACAAGCAAAAAGTGCTTGGGCAATTGATAAAGCGAGCGCAGCTCTGAGGGCTTCCATGCTGTCGGCTAGTGTAAACACAGGTCACACACGTGATGTCAGCATTTTTTTGTCGCGGAAAGTGACGTTGCGGACCTTAAAACTCCGGTTTTGTCTGTCCACACGCAGACACCCAAAAGGGAGAAAACGCAGATCTTCACTTTGGCCGGAGTTTTTAAAAAGATCCATTTTCGTGTGAAAAACCTCCATTTTCATGTGGATGACAGGCCAAAACGTAGAAAAATACCCTGGATACGTTTGGACAGGGCCTAAGACTTGAGAGGCCTGATACCCTCTAATGGTAGGACATTGGCATCAATGTGATTTCAGGAGGCATCAGCTTCATCCCACAGACCAAAAATATGTCAGATAATTCTTCATTGTACCTAAATGTGTTTGTGTGCACGTGCACGCACACACTGTATGTGACACTGGTTATGTGTGCTTGTGATGGACTGGCAACCTGGCAACCCAGTGACAGCTGGTGATAGACACCTGCTCCCCATGTGAGGATTAGAAATTGAGTAAGTGAGTGAGTGGGGAGAAGTTTCTGTGGGCTGCAGCATTTATTTATGTTTTAACTGTGAATGTGTTTCATTTTCTTCATAGAAGCCCCTTTAAAGTGTCCATCACTCACGCAATTGTGCATCCCTCCCCATTCAGGTGCTCACTCGCACGACACGACACAGACAGCAGCAGGAAATGAGTACTATCATTGTGGAGCTTAGCAACAAGTAGTTAAATAACAGGCAAGTAATGTAATATGTACAAAATTGTGTTAGTAATCAGAAAACTAAGTGGTTGTCTTTACCGATGTGTTTTTGATACTGTGTCAATGTGGAGAAACGAGGGCCTGGGCGGCATTCGATCCCCAGACTCCCGGATGAGAGTCACGAGCGCTAACCAGACAGCCAAGGGACATCTCCATGGCCAAGTAACCAGAACGCATGGTCAGTCGGAATACAGTCAAGTTAGAAAGCGGAGTCTGGGGACTTTAGGTTAGGCTCTCCAATCTCTGGGGCTGAGGTAACTGAAGTGGTCCAAAACTCCTCAGTGGCAAGGTCCGAGGGGTGGATGAGATTCGCCTGGAGTTCCTTAAAGCTCTGGATGTTGTGGGGTCGTGTTGGCTGACGAGGCTCTGCATCGCCTGGACATCGGGATCAGATCCATTGGATTGGCACACTGGGGTGGTGGTCCCCCTATTTAACCTTCTCAGGCTCAAAATAAGTTTTGATAAAAGGACGAACAAGTAAGTCCTTCAGGAGTACTTAATGAAATACCTATGTGGAGTAACCAGGTAGGTAGGTTTTAACTGTTGCAGATCTTCAATGCCTGCCTTCAGAGGGTTAAAAGGGGGACCACAGGATGTGTTCCTACTACAGGGGGATCACACTTCTTGTAAGGTTTATTCAGGGGAGAGGGGATCCGTTGTATAGTTAGACCTCAAATTCAGGAAGAGCAAAGTGGGTTTTGTACTGGCCGTGGAACACTGAACCAGCTCTTTACCCTTAGGGGTCCTGGAGGGTGCGTAGAATTTCCCCGACAAATCTACATGTGTTTCATAGATTCGTAGAAGGCGTGTGAACAGGGGGACCCTGTGGGGGTACTCAAGGATTATGCGATGCCAGGCACCTTATTACAGGCTGTTAGGTCACTGTATGACCAGTGTCAGAGCTAGGTCCACATTGCCGGCAGAAAGTTGGACTCATTTCCGGTGAGAGTTGGACTCCACCAATCTGTTTTGGTAACCTGAGGATCAGGTCTCTGCTTTTTGCTGATGATGTGATCCTGTTGGCTTCATCAAAAAGTGATCTCCAGCTTTCACTGGAGTGGTTCGCAGCCGAGTGTGAAGCAGCTGGGATGAGAATCAACTCCTCTAAATCTGAGACCATGGTCTTGAGCCAGAAGAGGGTAGAATTCTTCAGGTCAAGGATGAGGTCCTGCCTCAAGTGGTGGAGTTCAAGTATCTCGGGGTCTTGTTCATGAGTGAGGGAAAGATGGAGTGTGAGATCGACAGAGGGATTGGTGCTGCGTCTGTACTGGTCTGTCATGGTGAAGAGAGAGCTGAGCCAGAAGGCAAAGTCTTTGATTTAGTGGTCGATCAATGTTCCAATCCTCATCTCTGATCATAAACTTTGGGTAGTGACTGAAAGAACACAATTGTGGACACCAGCAGGTGAAATGAGTTTTCTCCGCGGTGCTTGGGCTCTTCCTTACCCATTCCTCATACTGGAGGCATCAGCGGGGCGGCACAGCAGTGGAATGGTTAACTTGCGAGCTTCACTGAGAGCCAGTACTGGACTTGCAAAATCACAAAATGCCTCAAGACTTCCACCATCCCCTTCTCTTGACTCGCAATAACACAAAATCCCTCGGCACTTCAGAGGCCATGGTTTGTTTATGCCATCTGCCATTGAACCATAAAAGAAGGAAATCACATTTGAGATTGTTTTTTGATGTCATATATGATGTTTTTCCTCGCTACGGCTAGGATTAAAGCCACACTGTTCAAATAATGAGTAAATAAATTGTTAGGTCACACGTATTGATATTATCTACATAGATATGAAATTGCATCACTACAATAGTCTTTTATTTTGAAAATGACCAGTTTTACATTAAAACTGTGTGATTTCCTAGCCCTATGTTAACTGTGGAAATTGACACATCTCAGAAGCGGCTTGTGGCAAAAATATAACCCACTTCTATCTTCAGCGGCGCGGCACGGCACGCTGCTTCTGGGACGCACCTGACATCGCGGCTAGTTTGAATTACCCCCATAAACCAAAATTGATTCTATTTGAAGCAGTGACGTTCTATTACAGATCCACACCATTGATGCTTCCAGTGTGAAGTAGGGTGATAGGGTGAGAAGCTTGCATCTGGGAGGGGCTTGGAGTAGATCCACTACTCCACATTGAGAGGAGCCAGTTGAGGTGGCTCAGGCACTTGGTTAGAACACCTCCCTGGTAAGGTTTTCTGGGTACATCCAACTGGGAGGAGACCTGAAATAAGACCCAGGACATGCTGGTGGGGCTATGTTTCTCGGCTGGCCAGGGCATGCCTTGGGGTGGGTAGAGGGAAATCTGGGCCTCTCTTCTTAGGCTGCTGCCCCCGTGACTCGGCCCTGGATAAGCGGATGAAAACAGATAGGCCAAAGTAAATTCGCCTCATGGCACTGTTAACAAATTCTCCAAGTTTGATGTGAGCCAGCTGACATTAGCTCGAAGGCTGGTGTTTGTTTACTAATTAGTGTCTGCTGTATTATGTGAATTTGCAGGGGAAAGAAGAGAAAGCCCCCTGACATATTTTACATCATCTGAGGAATAGGGAAGAAGATTCAGCAGAGTAAGAGATAGGTAGAAAGTACTGATGAACCACAGACAGCAGCAGATGAGGTGCAGGTATCATTGATACGGGGCCGTGTTAATGCTGAGCAGCACTGCTGCCATCACTGAAGCTTGGGCCCCACTGGATCAAAAGCTTGACTTAATTGGAGAGGAAGATGAAGAAGATCAGCACCTCCAAATCTGAGACCATGGTTCTCGACCGGAAAAGGGTGGCTTGCCAACTCCGGGTCAGGGGAGAGGTCCTACCTCAAAGGGAGGAGTGGGTCGTGTTCACAAGTGAGGGTAGGAGGGATCGGGAGATCGACAGGCGGATTGGTTCGGCGTCTGCAGTGATGCGGACGCTGAGCCAATCTGTCGTGGTCAAGAGGGAGCTGATTCAGTAAGCCAGGCTCTCGATTTACCGGTCGATCTACGTCCCAATCCTCACCTATGGTCATGAGCTTTGGGTAATGACCGAAACAACGAGATCGCGGCCGAAATGAGTTTCCTCCGTAGGGTGGCCTGGCTCAGCCTTAAGCTTGCTTTATGCTTGACGCATTCACTTTCCGCTTGGTGATGCGGCTCGCGGATGGAACACGCTTCACAACTTGCAGAGTTTACGGTTCATGCGGCTCGTCTCTGCGGTAAGCCAATATTCTCCCAAACTGAACGGGGCAGCATGGAGCTCTACAGCATGCATCCAACACTAAACCGT